CCCTTCCCCCGCTTCTCCCCTCGGCGGCTGGTCTGCAGATACTTGAAGGCGATCCCGTGCTCTTCCCGGCCTCTGCTGAGCTGGGCGAGGCGCGCCTGTTCCCTGCAACACTGCATTCCCACTCGGCTCCTCCAAAGCCATGTTTCTCCGTTGTCTAGCGCGTTGTCCGCCTCTTACAAACTCACCCTGGGATTCCAGATGAGCCCTCTGAGGACGTGCGGAGACGAAGGGTTTAGCACGAAAATTAAAGCTGAAATTGGCAGCAGGACAGAGATGCCCTGGCATCTGCTCGGCGACATCTTTTAAGTCCCAGGAGCGCCTGAAGCCGTTTTCTCGCCAACACCCTTCCACATGTGGCGTTATCGTGGCCAGAGCCTCCCTCTGTAAACGGCGATTTCCTTTCTTTCAGTTTGCACTTGCTGGTCATAGTTTTTTTAAAAAATGCTCTATTCTAAGTGTAGAAATGGTGCAAGATTCGAGGCTGGTGCGCAGAGCCCGGGCCTCCCGGGGGATGGAGGCAGCCGCTCCCCGGGGCCCCCCGGGGCTCTGACCGGCCAGTGTGTCTTAGACGCAGGCGGCCCGTCCTCTGAGAGAAGCCACCTCTGACCAGGCGGGGCTGCAGGGGGCTGGGACTCGGGGACGTGAAATGAGGAGCGCACCCGGCTCCGAGCGTCTGCTGCGTACCTCTCCCGGGAGCCGGGGGTCTCATGTCTCAGGAGCAGACTCCCGCCTCCCCGGCTCCATTCGCTGGGAGTGGGCCGAACATCAGACGGCGTGGGGGGGCTTCACCCTGTGGTCCCGGAGCCTCCTCCAGGCTGTACGGAGCCCAGCTGTTTGGGAGACATGCGTGGCCCTGGTTGTGGTCACGGTTGGGGGTGAGGGTTTTCAGATCCCTGGTCTCTGGAAAGTTCCTATCTGGGGGCCATGGGAACTGGGAGCCCGGAGGATCTTTATGGAGTTCACCCTGGTCTTTTAAGGCTGAGGAGACACATGCATGGCTCCCTGGGGACATCACCCCGGACCACCAGGTGCTCAGACCCCTAGCTCCCTCCTCCAGATCCCGTGGGTGGTCTGTGGAGTGGGAGCAGCTCTGTGACTTGGGGAAGACAGACCGCTGGCCTCTCTGGGCCCCGCATGTGAGTGGGGACAGTGGTGCCGGTGTCTGATGTCCGGTGAGAGGCACTTTGGCCTGGTGACCGGCACGGTGCTCTCTGGGCAGCGGCCTTCCTGCCCCACCCCACACGTGCAGCTGGGGCCTTGGGGTCTGCGTCAGCCTTTCCTGCTGCAGCTGGGCGCCCCCCCCAACTCCCCGGGGAGCAGGAAGCGGATGTTTTCAGGGCACACTCACTCCGTGTGGACAGTAAACACCACCCCCAGTCCTTGGGGCCCAGAAGCACCTGCCGGGCATCGTCCCTGTTTGCTGCTCTGGTCCCACGGCCCCAGGTGGAGCCTGGTGCTATGGGTTGCAGGGTCCACGGGCGTGTGCGGTCAGGTCTACTGAGGAAATGGGGCTGTAGGAGGGTTGTGTGTGTGTGTATGTGAATATGTGTACACTTATTACATGTGTGTGTTTGTGTGTGCAGGGTGTGTTCATGAGTGAATGTGTGCATACCTGTATTTGTGTGTGTGTCCACATTGTGTGTTGTGTGCATGTGTTGTGCGTGCATGCGTGTGCATGCACACATATGCACACCCATGTATACATGTGAACGTGTGTGCACGGGTGTGCATGTGTATGCGCGCGTGTGTGGCTGCCCTGGCCCAAGGTCATGACCCTCTTCCCAGCTCACTGGCTGGTCTCCCTTCCCAGACGGGCTGGGGTGCAGCCTGAGGACACCCACCTCACTGCCTGCCTTTCCTGTAACATGGATGCCTGTTTGGGGGAGTCTCACAAGCGAATTCCTAGCTCCGGGTGCTCTGACTGGGCCAGTTCTGGAAGGAAGTGGTCAAGCCCCAGGGTCCCGGGAAGGTCTCTTCAGGAGCAGCATGTTCCTGCAAAGGTTCTGGACCTGGAGCCTGCTGGTCCCCGGGGGGGCCGAGTGCAGACCCCGCTCCCAGCTCTGATCCCACCCTCATCAGGCTTCATTCCACCGAAGCTCCGTGGCTGAGGGTTAATGACATTAATCACTGTCCTCTCCAGGTAAGAACGGGCTCTAGAGGAGCTAATTGTCACACAAGGGCTCAAGGAAAGCTCAGGCCTGGGCAGAACTCAGGCAAGAGGGTGGCTCCCCTTCTCTGTGCCGCTCCCCACTCTCTCCTCCCACATCAGAGCTGCCACTTCTCCTGTGTCTGTATCAGCGACAAAGGGGAGCTATGGCCCATTGTTGCATCACCCCTCCAGGACCCTGCCCCATGGGTGATGCCCTGAGGGGCACCCATCCTCCTGCACGAGACTGTGATGAGCACCTCTCTGGAGGGCAACCTGGCCAGAGCTGCCCAAATTAAAAACCCACAGGTATTTAACCCAGTAATTTCTCTTCTAGGAATTTATCCAATGGATTCCCCACCCCTGTGCCTGCCCACAAAAAGCTCTGAGCGAAAAGAGCAATGGGGGGGGGGGCACTATATATATGTTACCATTTATGTAGAGAAAGTGGAACGTACGTCCCTGTGGCTGTGTCCACATATCTACACGTCCCTGCCACACACACAGTGAGGGCGGTCAGGGTGTACGTGCCACAGGTGCTGGGCTACGGCCTGTCGGGATCTCGTGGAGTCTGTACTGACCTACGAGGGGGTCTGCTCAGCATCTGTGAACGGGGTGGGGGTGGGGACAAAGCCTGCTGGGGAGGGAGACAACATCGTGGTTCTTGGAAACCAGAGGGTGGGGCTGGCTGAGGCACACCCTGTGGACCTGGAGAGAAAACCTGGCAATAGGAAGGCACGAGGTCACAGCTGGGAGCAAACAGAGGGACGAGCGGGGACCACATCTCAGTGTGAGTGTGCAGTGGGGGGGCAAGCAGGCTGGGTCGGTACCCCCTTACTCACCTCTGCCAGGTTTAACACTCGAGTCACTCTAACGCTGCACTGTTCAATACGCCCGTCACACCAGCCACGTGTGGCTATTTAAATGTAAATTAACTTTAAATAAATAAAAATATCATCCTGCCCGGCCGGGCGTAGCTCAGCGGTTGAGTGTTGACCTAGGATCCAGGTGATTGGGGTTCGATTCCCGGTCAGGGCACATGCCCAGGTTGTGGGCTTGATCAATGACTCTCTCATCATTGATGTTTCTATCTCTCTCTCTCTCTCCTTTCCTCTCTCTGAAATCAATAAAGATATATTTAAAAAAAAAAAAAATCATCCAGTGGCAGTGGCCACAGTTCAAGTCCTGAATGGCCCTGTGATTACTGGCCACCCCCAGGGACAGCAGGGATCCGGACCACTCCCATCACTGCAGGAATTCCATCAGATGCGGCTGCTCTAAAGCCCCTGCATTGGTTAAATTTCTATCACTGATGATTATTTATTAAGCTCGATCAACACAGCTTTGTATGAGTCCTGATAAAGTACACTTGTGGTTAAATGGAGACCAAGTCCAATGGTGTTGCCTACTTTTAACATTTTCACAATGTCCATCTCATTAACATTTTTTTTTTTTTTTACTCTCCAGATCCTATTGTTCTGCAGCGACCATAAAATCCTAGAGTCTTGAGGTTCTCTGCTAGAGTCGTAACCCAAGGCCTGTCTCCCAGGATATATGTTAGGAAGGATCTTGGTGCAAGTGTCTGGGAGAAACGACACTGCTCTCTGAGGTGAGGGAGGGCAGTCTGTCCATCTCTTGGGTCACTCTGGGCCTTGGTCAGACACAGCATGAAGTGAGCAAGGGGAGGCCAAGTCCCCCCCGTCTTGAATCGGGGGTCCTTTGGTGTGAGAAGGCAGGTCTATGGCAGGGCAATTGGAAAGCGGAGTTTGTTCCAGGGGATGGACTCAGGATGGCTTCCCCATGTGCTGAGATTGTGTCCAGAGCATGTGGGCCCACGGCTGTCTCTCTCCATCCTAATGTGCTGGCCTCCAGCACAGACACAGGCTGAGGGTGAGTGCCGGTGTCTAGGAGATACTGGGAACTATCGGTGGATCTGGGCACTGAAGGTCCAGCCTCCTGGGAATCCGGGAAAACGGTGACATCTACTGCAGTCTGCAGAGTAGGGGACTGTGCCACATTCTGTGGCAGAACTAGAAACTGTCAGGTAGGGTATTCATAAATCTCAGGTTAAACTCATCCCACCTGTAAGTCTCCTTTCTCTGTGTTCTGGCCACAGTCGAGAAATGGGTGACTCACAATCTTCCAGTCTTTTCATGTCACAGGAAATTCAAGTCTCTCTTTGAATCCCTGTTTTGCTATTATTTATTCAATTTCTTATTCAGCATTTTTTTTTAACGTCTTCATTTAGGCTTTATCTTCTCCACATTTACCCCATTTCTATGTTGTCATTTTCATCCAGCCATTGGCCTGCCAATGTTCCCATGCTTCCCAGAGCAGGGGACTGGGAGTTAAGGGGCAGTTACTTCACCCACAATGTTCCAAAAGTCTGAGAACTCATGCCTTTAATTCAGGAAACTTCTCAGCAAGTATTTCTTCAGATTATTGGTCCTTTGGTATTTCTTCTTTTCTTCTAGGGCTTCTGTTAGTGAGGTGTCAGTGTCTTTAAAGGTTCTTAATTGCATTTTATAGATTTTATCTTTTTATTTTTCTGTGCTGCCTTCTGGGGTAATTTCCCCAGGACCATCCTCCAGTTCACTAATTTTCTCTTTGACCATGTCTAGTCTGGAGTTCAGACTTCTTTTTATTTTTTCCCATTTTATATAAATTACTATATTTTTAATTTCTAAGCTTTCTTTTTGTGATCCCCCCCCTCCCCCAATTACCTCTTCTTATTCTATTTCTCTATGATCCTGGGCCTTAGTTTCCCTATATTCAAAGTCAGAAGATGGACATAGCTAATTTTAAAGGTTTTGTTTTTGTTTTTTTTTTTAGCTCAAGCAACCAAATTACTGAGTCAGTTCAAAGACAACAGAATTTTATTCCATTATATAAAGTCTATTAATAGTGGAAAGATTAATTTATTAAAACATGTGCAAGAGAATATATAGAATATATGGGTTAATAAAAAGCTAGTAATTTGGTAATAGACTCCAGCTACTTACTAGTTGTCAAATTAGAGTATTTCCTAACTACCAACTTTTAAATTTGGCGACTAGGACTGATGAGATGAGGAAGTATCCAAAGGGAAAAGGTTGTGGAGTGCGAAGAGTGGATTTTGGTTATGTACAAACTTTACACGGGCGAAGGAACAGTGGCCACCTCTGGAAACGGTGCTGTGGAGAGCTAGCCTGGTGCGGCACCCAGCAGAGGTCACGCCGAGCGCATCAGACGCCGAGGAGCTGCGGCACCCGCTTGGGTTCTGCGGACTGAGAGCCGGCCTCCGCCATCCCTGAGACGGACTCAAGGCCGGCTCCTCAGAGAGGCATCACTTTTTCTTTCGCTTCTTCTCTGTCTTTTCCTTCTTTTTCCCTCTGTCTTTTGCCATTCCCACGTTCCCTCCCATGGACGCCAGGGCGCGCCTCTTACCCAAGGGGGTTTTGGCGTACCAGTTCTGAAACGAAACAGATGTTCGGAGGGAAAAAATAAAAACGATGTGAATTTGCTGGAACACTCTTACAAAGAAAGGAGATCTTGCCCTGGCCGGGGTGGCTCAGTGGTTAGAGCGAAGGGCGGCAGGTTCTATTCCCGGTCAAGGGCACGTGCCTGGGTTGCAGGTTCAATCCCCCACCCTGGTCAGGGTGAGTGTGGGAGGCAGCCCACCCATGAGTCCCTCTCACATCAATGTTTCTCTCTCTCTCTCTCTCCCTTCCATGCTCTCTAAAAGCAATGGAAACACGTCCTCGGGTAAAGATGAAAAACGAAAGGCCTGGCTAAGATGGAAGGGGCACGCTGCCCTTAAGGTTTGGGCATTTAATGTACGTTTAATACAAATTTCTCTCTCACCTGTATTTCTACACAATGTGGAACTTCTCGAGGGGTTAATGGTTTCAGAGAACCACAGGCCAGTCTAACCAACAAGCTTCCCGATGAATCACCCGCCCCCCGGGGGTCTGACTCTGTCCCGGGGTGGGGGCTTTCTTGGTGACGTGAGTGGTCCCCCCGGTGCACAGAGGCCCTGGGAAGTTCACCTTGAAGCTGTCCTCCTCCTCCTGGTACACGGGGTCCGCGCGGCCGAGAGCCGCGATGAACTCCAGGGCGGTGAGCGGCTTCTGTGGCTGCTGCCGGAGCCTGCGGTCGGTGAGCACGCCCTTGACCACCCGGACGATGTGGCCCTGGGTGAAGCCGTCAGTGACCTTGGCCAGGCAGCTCACGTTCAAGGCACCCGTAATGACCCCTCCGTGGCGCTGGATGATCTGCTTCCACAAAACTGCGTGTCCGAGGTGGAGGGAAAGACAGAGACAACCAGGGTCACCCCCGAGAAGGCGGATTAATCCAGTTCTCCACACACAGCCTCATCCCGGCGAGGAAGGAGCGCCCAGTGGGTCCACTCCCCGATCCCCATGAGCAGAGGGCACACTTGCCTCCGGCTGCCTTCCCACCACAGGACGCACACAGCGAGGTCTACAGATCCACGAGGCCCTTGCGAGTGGACAAGGGAAAGTGAAACCACAGGCAACACCGCTTCGGGGTGGTGCCTTGAGAGATTCAAACGCTTTCAAAATCGGAGACCCCCGTAGGCGCAGACGGGGTCTCTGCTCATCGGAATATTATGTTTTCTGCAGTTTGGATAAGCAGGAGGGTGACTTTTTGAAAAACTTCATTTCTTACTAATTTTTAAAAAAAATATATTTTTAAGATATGTTTTTATTGATTTTAGAGAGAGAGGAAAGGAGAGGGAGAGAGAGAAACATTAATGATGAAAGAATCATTGATGGGCTGCCTCCTGCACGCCCCCCCCCCCCCCCC